GTATATTTTAATCTAATAGGACCTCTACAAATGTATTCTATATAAATTGTATTAGATATAATATTTTCTTACCGCGCGATACGCACCGCTACTCCGTGTCCCTTAGTCCTTGACGTTCATCCGCATTCAACTCACACAAGTCTCAATTCTCCACCGCGCATTCACACAATTAGATATAAAAATGTGACAAACTCGTAACATAATACTATGATAACTCTCTTAAATTATTCAATCGATCTAAATTTGCGGTAGATTGACTGCACTTGTGCGTGCTTATGTTTTTTAAAAGCAAGTGCGTTGTCCTCATAAAATTGGACTCCACTGGACGCGCATATTTAAACCTGCTGACTGCAATAATTCGTAGTACTATTATTTATTCTGTGCTTAAGTTAATATTTCCTTCGTCGTGTAGTGGCGGCGTAACACAGTCCACTACCTCATATTACCTCATTTATACGTGGTAGAGCCATGCTGCAGCTATATATCTGGTATAGTTGTAGCATGAATCGGTCAGCCTGACCGAGGAAGGACCACGGTCTCACAGAATACCAGCGTAAAATAGCAGCTTAACACTGCTGTTTCGTATGGTGAGTGTAGAGAATCGGAGACCTTTTTCGCTGGAAACGAGGCATTCCATCTTAGTTCTCACGGGTGACAACGTATCTGCGCATTTTGATTCGTAATCGAGAGGATAGATATAGATGTCTATGGACCACAGCAACCACTTACCACTAGGTGAACTGTGTGCTCGTTTGTCACCCTTATCATATAATTTTTTTTATCCCGTGGGTCTTGTAAGAAGCGGCAGAAGAAAACGAAACGTGGATGAACTTAGTTTTTACGAACTTTATCGCGATTATTAACTTATTATGTATATTCCCGAAGTTTCGAGTAACTTCTCGAAACGTTGGCAATATATATATACATAATTTACAGCACCCTTTTCCTTTTGCCTCGTGACCATAGGTAAAGTACTCATTGAATGAAACGAGCTATACCTATAGTTTCATTGAATGTATAGTGTTCGCGGAAACATAAGAAACCATTATAAGAGTGGAGATGGTTAGCAGAAGCGTCTTACCTACTGATATCAACTACTTGCCAAGCGTGGCGACTATGTCAAATATCCCCCTTAAAAATGGTTGAGGCCTACATGAACATACATCACATCGCAATCACATCAGCCTATCAAAGTTCACAGCATGAATATTCACATGACGGATATTTCCTGCAGTTTATTATAAAAGTTTAATTACTGAGACGTCCTTCTAGGTTAATAATATGACTACAATTTTACTCGTTTAAACATAATTTAATATTTAATAAAATCTGTGTTGAAAAAACAACAGTATCTAGATTCATAATTTTTATTATTATTAATTATTATACGTTTTAATGACTTATTTCACTCATACACATTTTCAAATTAAGATACTTTTACTTATCAATCAATTATATTATTAACTAGCTGTGCCCGCGGCGTAGCTCGCGAATATAGGTTTTACTTAAAGAATTTGACGTTTAGGGTAAGAGAATATTAACCGATTTATATCATTACTCTATGAATAAGTGGTAACAAAATAAATCGATATTCTCAAAGTTCTAAGTCGTTTATGCTAGAGCTTCTGTGTAAACGACGATAGAAGTAGACTTAGCCAGGCGTACAGAAAAAGGTTACGGGGACTACTAACGCGAGAAAAAGCAATATAGAGCTGGCCATGTGCAAAACAATCAGTACTGACGCGTAAAGTTTGACCTTGCGCTTTATTTACGATCGTCGCATAACACACGCTGAGTGGGAAACACACTTAAAATAGGGATGTTAGATGATCATCGATGTTAAAAATTAAAACTTTGATGTTTTAACATCGATGTTGACATATGTCAAACATCGAAACATCGACGTCAATTAACCCATAATCGATAATTGAGAACTTGCAAACAATGCGAACTCGCGAAATCAGTATCAACTAAATCTTACATTTGCTCTGAAGATTAAAAATTTTGAATAATTCAGAATTTCTGAACGCATCGTTAATCTAAAAAAATGTCAGTATGGTGAGTCAAACTTAATTGTCAAGTGTCTCCTGTAATGTCACAATGGTCACTGCTTTCGCTTTATTTTGTAGTGTCGTTGTCGGTTGTCGCATAATAACTATTCTACATAAATTGATATTCAAGTTAATTGTTACTTTTCCCTTGCTGTGTATACCCACATAATTTTAAAACAATGTGTAAGTATCTACACATATACAAAAACCATCGATAATGGTCAACATCGATGTTTTGAGTAGCCAAAACATCGAACATCGATGTTGAGCTAGCGATGCCAACATCGATGTTATTATCCCTATCTTAAAACTGAAGCCTGAGCCGTGGTAGCTCAGATGGTTAGCGCTCGCTGTAAGCTTCACAGTACTCGAGCAACCCGGGTTCGATCCCCGCCGGCACCAATGAAATTGTTAATTGCAATTTTAAGTGCTGATTTACCACGTGCTCGGCGGTGAAGGAAAACATCGTGAGGAAACCTGCATGTTTGAGAAATAAAAAAAAATATTTCGATGACATGTGAAGTTCGCCAACACGTATTGGGGCAGCGCGGTGGACATTTCCTTGCCCTAAAACCCTCTCAGAAATAAGAGGAGGCCTGTGCCCAGCAGTGGGACGTAAATAGGCTGCAACTTTACTTTACTTAAAACTGAAAAAAAAGTTATCTGGTATTAGAGGGATTCTGGGTATAAAACAATATCACTATCACGACATTTATTGCAATTTTGCTACTTTTAGTCAAGTTTTGTTGAATAATTAAATATTTCAATACCTCTGTATATATACCTTACAGGATTGCAACTTTCTCAGACTCATGGACATAAATTATTACAGTGAGTCTCAATACGATTCACCTGCGAAAAATCTTAACACCGCAATTCAGAAAAGGTTGTAATTTGTACAACGCCATCTATTACGTTCTTTGTGAGAAAACATCCTTTTTTAAATTAAGGAAAACATATTTTTACTGTGTTTTAAGTACTATAATAGAACGATACGAAATATATTATAATAGAACGTTTTTTTTTACACACGTATCTTTTTATTACTATTTCTGGGATTTTGTGGCGCCATTAAACAAATTCGAACCTACATTTCAAAATAATAATCATGACTTTCGATAGAATTAACCAATTTCAATAAAACAAAGATTAAATGAACTTGATAATACGCTTTATGATTTTCTTAAGGATTTCATTGAAAAAAAAGATGTTTACTCAAAACGTCATGCGTCCATAAACAAACAGACAGACCGTCAGATAGTACAATTCTAAAAATTATAAAAATGTACTTATTTAATGACTTACAGTCCCCATAATGATTTTAGTCGCAAATTAATATACTATACAATATTCAGAAACAGACATAACATGTTATTACCATTTTTATTATATGTATAGATTTAAGAGAGATGGCGCTGTTAACATCAATTCTAAAAATAAGAGATTAATTCACACGATTGATACAATAAAAAACATAAAAGAACTTATAAATCAGTGCCTGCATAGTAAGCAAAAAAGAAAGTTTGATCCTCGCCGAAAAACGAAATTGTTAATAGCTCTTAAAATTTGATTTACCACATAGAGTACTCGGCGGTAAAAAAATAAAAAATAAATGAGATTGTCAACACGCAGTAGGGCAACGTGTCATTAATATAAAGGTTAGAAGCAAATATGAAACTCAACTACAGGAATAAATTTTTTTTCTGCCTTTTTGTATCACATTTATGCTACACCACCATCTATCGATGAAATTGGTTAACTATTGTACTTTAATTTAGTTTAGATAATAAGGTTAATATATTTTGTATATATTTATTACGTTCTTTATGTAATACTTTTGTTTACTGCGTTTTAGATATAAGTATATCATTATAGAACATTATTTTACATCATTTAATTATGATTTATAATATGATATTAATTTTAAAATGTACTTGATGACTCATCCAACGCCACTATTGAACAAATTCGTACCTATACTTAGTACCCATACTTCAGAATATTTGTCATAACTTTTGATGGAATTAACCAATTTTAATGAAATAAAGACTAAATGTAACCTGAATATACACTTAATAATTTCCTTAACTATTCTTATGATATAAATTAGTACTTTATACGTGATACGTTAACAAACAAACAGACAGACAGACAGACAGACAGACAGACAGAAAAATCTAAAAATGGTAGAAATGTATTTAATTACTTATTTTTAGTACCTCTCAATCACTTTTATTACAAAAATATAAAATGTACAGACATCTGCTATTTACATTTTTATTATATGTATAGATATATTCAAACTATAAATATTTATCCAATGAAATGTTGTGCGTATTCTTATTAACTTTTGTTTTCTGCTTTTGTAAAATTTATTATAGCTGTCACAATGAAAGAGGCAAACCTACTTTATAGTATATGAAAAATATAATTCTAAATGTACGAGCGAAATAGATATATTATTATGTTGAAACTCCTATCCTATCAAGTCCAATTAAGATACTCAAAAATAGTTGACGCACCAACATCCGGAAAATACTTTACAAATGTCATGAGATTTAACATTTATATAAAGAGTACGATATTTACAATCTTTTAAACTTATTTTATGACAAAATTTTGTTTCATTTTTAACGAACATTTCTAATATCTGTCATCAACTAACTCGTCTATACATGTATTGCCAACTTAATGATTACAATTATACAAACAACAAATTTTAAAGAAATCTTCTGATAATGCTCATCAGCCCTCAGCCCTCCTCTGTTCTTTCTAGTACTCCATGTCTGCTTGAAATTTTTATTTTTAAGGTATTTTTGACTTTTTTTGCTTGATTTGCGTCAGTATTATTTTTCCTCAAGGTTATTAACTTTTTCTTAAGTAATTCATTTCTCTTATGCAGTCGTCTAATTTTTTGGTTTAATGTTTTTACTTTCTTTTTTTGTCTTTCAATTTTCTGCCTTTCCTTTTTGAGATCGTACGAGTACTTCCATCGTTTCTCGACAGAATCCAGCAAATAAGGCAAGTTTAATTTTGATTCAATTACTGGTGGCTGCTCAATTTTGCTTGTTGCTGGTGCATTGTTGGTTGATACCTTCAAAAGCAAACAAAATACATTCATTTAACGTCTTATTTAATGCTAAGATCGCCTGGATAAGTCACGTGGCGTTATTTAAATTTAAAATAAACAAAAACAATTTATTTTATCAATATTTCGTTTTTTTATTAAAGTTTCTCGGACAAAAGATTTCAACACCATCGGCTCGGCCATTCCGAAGATAAGTCCGAACAGAGAAAGACAATTGTCGCTCACTTAGCGGTCAGCCACCGCAGAGTCTACATCACATGAAGATGCCTTGTGTAGAGGCGAAACACGTGTCGTATTGTCGTCAGTGGTGTCTTTCCTAGTGTAGTGGGGTTGGGAGTAGTGGTGCTGCAAGTAGTGGTGACGGGGATAGTGCACGCAATTGAGGGAGGGCGGGAGGTGCTCTTCAAACTAGGTAAAACACATAATTTTATTTTATCGAGCGGATGTACCCAAGGTAACTTCTACCAACTTTAATATAATGGATTTCCGCAAAGTAACGCCTGATTCTGTTATTTACCCTATTCCCTTGTTCTCTAAAACTGGATCTATTTTAATTTTAATTTATCAAAAACAATATGGGAATTAAGGAAGGATTGTCTGTGTGTTGTGCGAAATTGATCCAGCCGTTTAGGAGTTCAGTCACATACATACCGGCAGAAGAATTATTTAATTGATAGGGGTTTGAAGTTGTGCGCGCATCACGGAAAAACTATTGGATAGATTGCAATTAAGTTTTCTAGGTTTTATTTCTTAGACACTTGGCCCTTATTATAAAAAAAAAATATTACATTTAATATAAAGTTTTACGAAACAACGATTTTTATATGGGGTTTTTGACACGTTCAACTGTACGTCGCATGCTCTCGCGTTACTAACCCAGATTATTTTTTAGCTACAAACGGAGCAACGAATAACATTGTTTACAAATAAATTTTATGTTGTGTATGTTTTTTCCTTCGCACATACGAAATCTTTGTTAATATATCAAGCAACGCGGACCAAGTCACGAGTATCAGCTAGTTATACAAATAATTTTCTGAATAATTAAGCATACTTGTGGCAAAAGAACGCTCGTGCTCGGCATAGGTAGCGGTTTCTGCTCAAAATCATTCGCCTCTGTCCCTTCATTTGTTGAAATCTAAAACAAAAGCTATGTTATTATGGAAACTTTAACAATGATACTAAAGAATGAGTTGTTTGTGTACATACCTGCTGTAAAGACGTGCTAGATGAATTCAGGTTGTTGTCAAGATTCCTATTTCCTGGCATTTGACGTATGTCATTCTGGATCAGCTTATTATTGAGAGTTATCTGCGCCTGGTCTATGCCAACAACGAAGTCATAAGCCGTATATAACGCCTTGACGCACGCAGGACAAATGGTTGTTGGAAGATGTTCTTGGCTGAAGTCAATATAAGTGTTCAACCTTTTTACCATTTTTACTACAAGATTTTTTAAAGAATCGTCACTCTGAAGGTTTAATAGCCCGCCATCGCAATCTGAAGCGGCACATAATCGACAATATTCTATTAATTCTTCCTTTACGTATACCTTTTCGAATACCGGTACCTATAAAATATTATTTTGTTAGAAGCAGTCCTTCAATTAACATAGTTTTTTTAGTAAAAAAAAAAAAGTATTTATTACCATCATTACAGCCTTTCACAAGTCTACTTTTAAACATAGTCCTCCCTCAAGGAATGCCACAAAGCACGGTCCTGAGCCACCTGCATCCATCGACTTCCTGCATGTCTTACCAGCTCGTCACTCCATCTAGTGGGGACCCGCTATACACTTCGCTTATCGGTACGAGGTTGTCACTTGAAAACCTTTCCTCCCCATCGGTTGTCGGTTGTAAGCCCATTACCACTTCATCTTACTAATCCGTTGGGCTATGTCAGTTACCTCATTTCTAAGTATCACGCAGAGAAACCCCGAGCATAGTACTCTCCATAGCTCACTGAGCGAACTTGAGGTTCTTCATATGGCCAGTTGCGAATCCACTTGCCAAGCGTGGCAACAAACATCCCCCTTAATGAACGATACAAAATAATACAGTATTTGTTACCATTCAAATGCGTAATTATAAATAAAGAATAATCCTAATAAATTAAACAATAATTCGTTATACTTGCGACTGAGTCGATATCGTGCTTAGCGTTGTTGACGTCAGTGGAGCTTTTGCTACTCCTTCAACATTTGATGATTCCTTAAAAAAAATTAAATATTAAACATGATTGACATTAACAACAAAACAAAACAACCACAAAAGCTAAGTAATTCAGTAAATACACAAACCTGCAGGATAGTAGGCCTAGGCGTAGGCGTAGGCATAGTAGGTGTTTGTTGCTTTTGGATTTTTTGAAGGTTCGACGATAGTAACTGCAAGTTAAAATATATGTATAGAATTAGGTAGGTAGTTAAGTGTTACAATACAGTTTCAACCATGAACGTATTAAAATGCGAACTAAATTTAGTTGAGAAAAGACTGATACACTGCAATGGCGGCGGTGCAAGTATGTTTGAGTGCCATGGTTTGGGTTGTCATGTGCAATAAAATTTCCCCATTTTTATAAAACAATATATGAAAATATAACATAACTTTGACACAATATTAATTATTACTACGTAATTAATACTATTTATATTACAAAGTTGACGATTAAAAAAATACTAAGAATTGCGATTTCGCTTTAGATATTTATTGAAATCGAATAATTCCATTTCGATCACTTGGATAGATAGGTGCAATAAAAAGCGTATTGATTTAAATTATTTTTATTACAAACATAATATCATACAAAAATTAATTATGTTATTGGAACGAAATAAATTAGAAAGAGGTAACTAACCAACTATGTATTTAATCGAATCTTGTTTGACATGTAATTCATGAGCAATGATACAGTTTTAGTATAAAAAGTCACACACAGAATAAAGATAATATTTAACTTTGTGGATGATCTCAAATCAAAATAAGAATGAAGTATTCCTGCAAAAGAAAAGTAAAGCGAGATAGGACAATAACATTTCTTATTAGTTGGTGTCATATAGAACAAGAGGTAAGTGCAAAACATGTTTTCTTCAGACTTAAATTTATATAAAAAGCTCAAAACATTTACATATATGAAAAATATATTGATAACGAAAAAAAAATATGTACCTGCCAACCTACAATCTAAGTCAGGATTATTTAGAAATACTTTTCTCTGTATTCGAATGCAAGGTGGCTTTAATTTCATCCCTAATGTCAGACAGTCAAAGGTTGCTACAGAAAACTATTGGCACATCTAGTTTAACTACAGAAAATTGTGTTCCTTTGGAACAAGTATCTGTTCTTAATTGGACTTCCGCTACTCAATTAATAAATTACTCCACTCCTACATACCGTCACGCTGAAGATGATGAGAGTATCTGTGATTCATTATAATTTTTAAATGCAATTACTTGAAAAGATGATGAGTTAACCAGGCGATTATGGGTAAAATTACATCATGACTATCGGAAGTTATTAATAGGATATCTGGCAGATAGCATTGCTTATTATGCTACAAAAAAATTCTAAAAATGCGCCGCGCGTTTGTCTACTGAAGAAAGACATTTTCTTTCATAAATTAATAAATTTGGAAACTAGGGGCTTACGTTTTCCATCCAACGATTTATATAATATTTGTTATACTTGAAAACATTACATTATATAATGAAAGGCATCAAAAATATATTCTTACAAAAATATCAGAAAAGTTTATTGCCAATGACGGGATTTTTGTCAGCTTGGAATTGAGCACACATTCGCAGGAATAGAGCACAAGATAAGTTTTATTAAATATGTATAGCAGAAAATTATTTGGTGACTCGATTTCAAGAATCACAGTTGTTTGAAAAAGTTACTCAACAAAAAGGGTTTTGACATAATTGTTATGATGTGTAAAGGTTTTTAAACATTACGATTGTCATAAATAAAAAATATAATTTACAAATTCACATTTAGACATTGATTTTGGGTCATTGAAGAATTCTGCTTCGCTGTAAAGCTATCTAAGACGGATAATTTACTTACCTTTTTTGGTACTGCATAAGTAGTAACTTTAAGTCTTCCTTCTTTCGTTGTGTATAAATCTTCAGTATCAAAATGATCGCTGCAAATTACACTCGATTTCGACGGAAGCCAATCATTTTCGTTTCTACTCTCTCTAATTATATTAATTAACATTTTTCTCCATACTTCATTGGTTTTAGGAAACCTTAAAAAATATAGATATTTATACGTAAATTAAACATGGCATAAAAAAATTAAATTAGGATTACAGCGTTCTGTGGTCGTAAAACATCACATCTAACCTTCTCAACCGTATTATAATCGGTCCATTAGTCTACGCAACGTTCTAGCGCAACGTGGACTTTGGTCAAAAATCTATCGAAGAACCTTCTCAGAAGCTATACATATCTAATGCAAAAAAAAACCGCATTATACTCTATCTGGTAGTTATACAGGAAAACGGTAACAAAAAAGTGCATAAACGTTAAAAATTGCAATTTCCACAAATTCGGGTAATTTTCCCGATAAATAATTAACAACACTGGTCATGTGACTCACTCATGTTCCGTTTCTGTGCTCCAAAAATAGCAATATAATATAGGTATGTTCAATATTGATAAATTTGCAAATAACTTATTATAGTTAAAGACTTACCTATGAAAGGTGATTCCTTGATGTTTTTTCACAAAAGCACTAGAATTCTTGCAAAATTTAACGACGCAAGACGGCATATTATTTATTTTTGTTTTTACTTACGACAACTACTCGCGGACGACGTTGGTTGCGTAATGGCGGCCGCTCGGCTTATTGTTAATGTGAATGTGTGAGTGACCGCATGCACGTACAAGTAAGCCGGCTTGTGTGCTTCCCTCGGTTGTATTTGTAATTTGTATATTGAGATTCAGTCCGCCTTTTTTATACCTTTTTTGGAATAGCATGCGGCCTTAAGCAACGTAATCCCTTTGCTGTTGTTATAAAATCGGCGTCGTCAAAATGCGCACTGCACACGGTGCTGGCAGTTGATGGCTTCCAATCGATATCTCCTCTACAGTTTCGTATAACCCGGACCCATTCATCTTTACGACTTGCATTTCGTGGAAACCTATAATTAATATAAATCTTAAATCGTTATAATATAATTTAGACTCTTTTTACTGGTAAAGTCGTATTCTATCTGTCTTCTGGATTGACAACGCAACTATTTTACATTTTGATTCTTAATTGAGGATAGATGTAGATGTCTATGGGCAAAAGCCTCCGTTTACAATTAGGTGGACTGTGTGCGCGTTTGTCACGCTTATTGTATAAAATAAAAACCACTTACAAACAAATTTGCAACCGGCGAATTGATAAGAATACAGAAGAAATACAGAGTTCATTTCCATCCAACGGAGGTTGGTCCAACTAGATTCGAAGGAGTTCAAAATTCTTAAATTAATATTTTATTTCTCAGACATGCAGATTTCTTCAAGATGCTTTCCTTCACCGCCGAGCACGGCGCCAAGTGTCATTGACAAATTATGTTTTGGCAAATTGAGTATTGAAATTGATTTGCGCAGTCTTGTTGGTGGGGTTCGAACCCGGATTGCTTGCTTACTGTGAAATTTACGACGCGTCGTTCACGGCTTTGCCCCTTAGTTAGCACGTCTATCAGTAGGTAGGTATAATACAAAAACAACACACATCGTTGTGAAGTAAGCATTTACTGTGCTGTGTTAGTATAGTATTATATTGTATTGATTTTTTCCCCAAAAAAATAAATAAAACAATGAAATAACCTCTTCCGAAACGACACAAAATTGTGAAAATTATTATATTTGTCACCAACTTACTCGTGATAGGTGATTCCTTGTAATTTTTTAAATTTATTCATGTAGTTTTTACATGATTTCACCACACAGGACTTCATTTTATTTAACTTTTCGTTCTCACAATACGTGTCACTAGAACTGGCGCGCGCTGCGTACTGCCGCCGACGCCGACCGCCGTTAGTCGGACCTTGATACAACGTGTCCCGAAACTCAACGTGTATCGGGCACGGGGCGGGAGGGGTCTTCGTACCAGCCCGGGGAAAAATAAAATAAAAATATAATAATTGACAAATGTATGAAAATAAGGAAAATCGACACCTTATATCATATCATTAGGTATTGTGACCACTTTCTCGATACAGTGATTTTTTCAGTAACGTGGTCTTAAATAAACGTGCTATTAATCGCAGTCACAAATCAAGCAAAAAAAGGTTGCTATGTTAGTTAAAATTAACGTAGTGTTTTTTAGTTGTAGTTGAAAAAATAAGATCACCTAATTTTGTCTATTAATTAAAAAAAAACATACTGTACTACCCTAGGCAAGTTATACTTCAAAAGATAGCCCGTTTTATCGTAGATTTCAATACGGCATGACTTGATAATAGGTATCACTTTTCATCCTTAAAAAATAGCAAAACAGTTCCACACCTACAACATTGAATTCAACAAGTTCAATGGCAGAATGAATAATACTAAACTACTTATATATTTTCCTGTTTCTTAGTATTATTGGTTGTCAATTGCAACGGTATGGAGCAATGTGTCTTTTTAATACATTTGCAATTTTGAGGTGTGTTAGCCAGCGGCTCGTTGGTCTAGGGGTATGATTTTCGCTTAGGGTGCGAGAGGTCCCGGGTTCAAATCCCGGACGAGCCCAAACTTTTTTTACCTTTTTGTTAATTAAATTAAATTATTATTATGTTTATTAAGTCAATTTTAATGTTATTTTAAATGAACTTACTCGTAAGTGATAGCGAGTGAAGAACGAAAACTTCGCCGTCTGATTCTGATTGTATGTTATTCGAAGACATAAGATAGAAATAAGTATGAGATAAATTAATTTGAAACAGAAACAGAAACAGAAACAGAAACTTTTTTATTCAATATAGATTATAAATAATACTTATTGAAAGTCACTCTTTTGTTTGATTACCACTGGTTCGGAAAAAACCTCTGTCCTGGGAAGAACCAGCAAGAAACCCAGCGGGACTTTTTTTTTAAAAATAACAGCTTACAATCATGATGTTACACAAATTAACAACACAACAAATTAGAAATAGCTTGGTAGCGATCACCTCATTTCCAGGGGTTATTATCATCCATAAATTCCTTAATATTATAATAACCCTTTTTATACAAACTTAGTTTAATAAAGTTTTTGAACTTTGAACAGGTCAAACTTTGTATATTTTCTGGAATTTTGTTGTAAAAGCGTATACATCGCCCCAAGAATGAATTACTGACTCGATGGAGTCGAGTAACTGATACTACTAGCTTGTGTCTGTTCCTAGTATTTACAGAATGAATATCACTTATTTTTGTAAAACTACTTTTATTTTTGTGTACGTACATTACATTTTCATAAATGTATTGAGAGGCCAAAGTTAATATATTAATTTCCTTAAATTTTTGTCGCAGCGACTCTTTAGGCTTTAAATCATAAATTGCTCTTATGGCCCTCTTTTGCAAAACAAATATAATTTCAGTGTCAGCTGCGTGTCCCCATAGCAAAATACCATACGACATTATGCTATGGAAGTAGCTGAAGTAAACTAGTCTAGCTGTTTCAACACTGGTTAGACTTCTAATCTTTTTTACAGCATATGCTGCAGAACTAAGTCTGCTTGCTAGTTTTGATATATGGGGGCTCCATTGAAGCTTCGCGTCTAGTGTGATTCCAAGAAAAATGGTGGTATCTACAAGACTCAGTTTCTCCCCATTTAAAATTACATTAGTATTTAATTGTTTGACATTTGGAGTCACGAATTTCATACATTTTGTTTTAGTGCCATTTAAATGCAAATTATTAACATCGAACCAATTTACTAATTTAGATATAGCATTATTTACTTCGTCATATTTTAGTAATTGTCGACTTAATTTGAAAATTAAAGAAGTGTCATCTGCAAATAATACTATATCATGGTTATCCCCTACTATGTAAGGTAAGTCATTAATGTATACAAGAAACAGAAAGGGGCCGAGAATTGAGCCTTGAGGCACGCCCATTTGTACCATCGATCCGGAAGAGCTCATATTGTTAATGACAACTTTTTGCGTTCTCTTACTTAAATATGAAATAATTAATTTAAGGGCATCACTTCTTACACCGTAGTGTTGAAGTTTCCTGATTAATGTTTCATGGTGAACACAATCGAAGGCCTTGGATAGGTCACAAAATATACCCAAAGCATCCTGTGAATTCTCCCATGCATTAAAGATATATTTAATCAGCTCAACACCGGCATCAGTTGTCGAGCGACCCCTTGTGAAACCAAATTGATTTTTATGAAGTAAATTATTTATATTAAAAAAATTTAACATTTGATCAAGAACAATTTTTTCAAAAATCTTACTAAGTGTTGGTAGTACAGAAATAGGTCTAAAATTGGCGGGGTCTAATGTACTACCAGATTTAAATAAAGGTATTACTTTACTATGCTTCATTAAATCAGGAAACACACCAGATTCGATACTAGTATTAAAAATAATAGCTAAATGAGGCGCGATTGTATCTATTATAGACGCAATAACTTTAACGGAAATCCCCCACAGATCCGCAGTTTTCTTAACATCAATAGTTTTAAAATATTTTACAATATCTTTTGATGACACTTTATGAAATGTAAAATTCTTTGTACACACATTTACATTTTGTTTAAGTAATGATTCGGCGACGGCAGGAGAAGAATTCAGTGACTTAGTGGTCAAGATCGGAATATCAGTAAAATATTTCTCAAAAACCATTGCTACGTCCTGATCTGATACAGTTAATTTGTTGTTAACGCTTAACTGGTAATTTGAATTGCGAGAGTTGATCTTGATGCAAGAAATTTCACTGCACTCTAAACATTGAACATTACAATCAAACACATTTGTAGTAAAATTTTGCCATATCGTTTTGTATTTTATACTTGACTAACTTTACTACTTTGACTAACTTTGGGACCGTTCAAGTATTACGTAACGCAGTTTTTGAAGATTTTTGACCCTCCCACCCCCCTATGTAACGCGCCGTAACGTTTATCTAGACCCCCCCCCCTAAACGTTACGTAACACCCAAGTGACCATTTTTACCTAAAAGTCACAATTACGAGTACTTTGCGCAAATTACCGGAAAGTCGCTAAAATAACTTTGTTATTGTTTTTATCGCGTTTCGCGTTAATAATAAATAAAACGAGATTTCTTCCTCGCAATACATTGTTGATTGTTTATTTTATTTATTCATATTGTTATTTAATAAACAATCACACAATGTAATAATAAACATTTGCTTAAGTTTAAAATATGTTAAAATGGGCACAAATCAGTCCTAATAAACTTTTACTACTAACCTTACATTTAATTACGCCGTTTTTTTAACTTGGCCTTTTCCTTACTTACATTTTATTAAATAAACTCTTAAAATAAAATAACATATTTATTTTTACCTTTGGCAATGCAATGTAAAAAACAAACAAAAACTTGTGTCTGAAGTCGAGTCTTTGCTGAACAAAGTCTCGGATTGGGGGCGACTAAATCTAGTCCAGTTCATTTGCCAGAAGACAAGTTTGCGCGTTTACCGCTAAATAGAACCCCTTTGTCGTATCTCCTCAGTTTCAATGCACTCCGCTTGCTACCTCAGCTAGCATCGGAATCCTCGGCGTCGACATATCGAATAAAGTGCAGTTTCGTGGTCACTTGGAAGGGAGGGCCAAATTGGCTTCTAAAAAGCTAGGTGTGCTCAACAAAGCGAGACTGTATTTTATGCCAGCACATCGCTTGCAATTTTACAAAGCGCAAGTCCGGCCTCACATGGAATACTGTTCTCATCTCTGGGCAGGGGCTCCCCAGTGCCAGCTCCTTCCACTTGACCGCATCCAGCGCAGAGCGATTCTAATCGTCGACGACCGAGTTCACGGTTCAGTATCACGCAGAGAAACCCCGAGCATAGTACTCTCCATAGCTCACTGAGCGAACTTGAGGTTCTTCATATGGCCAGTTGCGAATCCACTTGCCAAGCGTGGCAACAAACATCCCCCTTAATGAACGATACAAAATAATACAGTATTTGTTACCATTCAAATGCGTAATTATAAATAAAGAATAATCCTAATAAATTAAACAATAATTCGTTATACTTGCGACTGAGTCGATATCGTGCTTAGCGTTGTTGACGTCAGTGGAGCTTTTGCTACTCCTTCAACATTTGATGATTCCTTAAAAAAAATTAAATATTAAACATGATTGACATTAACAACAAAACAAAACAACCACAAAAGCTAAGTAATTCAGTAAATACACAAACCTGCAGGATAGTAGGCCTAGGCGTAGGCGTAGGCATAGTAGGTGTTTGTTGCTTTTGGATTTTTTGAAGGTTCGACGATAGTAACTGCAAGTTAAAATATATGTATAGAATTAGGTAGGTAGTTAAGTGTTACAATACAGTTTCAACCATGAACGTATTAAAATGCGAACTAAATTTAGTTGAGAAAAGACTGATACACTGCAATGGCGGCGGTGCAAGTATGTTTGAGTGCCATGGTTTGGGTTGTCATGTGCAATAAAATTTCCCCATTTTTATAAAACAATATATGAAAATATAACATAACTTTGACACAATATTAATTATTACTACGTAATTAATACTATTTATATTACAAAGTTGACGATTAAAAAAATACTAAGAATTGCGATTTCGCTTTAGATATTTATTGAAATCGAATAATTCCATTTCGATCACTTGGATAGATAGGTGCAATAAAAAGCGTATTGATTTAAATTATTTTTATTACAAACATAATATCATACAAAAATTAATTATGTTATTGGAACGAAATAAATTAGAAAGAGGTAACTAACCAACTATGTATTTAATCGAATCTTGTTTGACATGTAATTCATGAGCAATGATACAGTTTTAGTATAAAAAGTCACACACAGAATAAAGATAATATTTAACTTTGTGGATGATCTCAAATCAAAATAAGAATGAAGTATTCCTGCAAAAGAAAAGTAAAGCGAGATAGGACAATAACATTTCTTATTAGTTGGTGTCATATAGAACAAGAGGTAAGTGCAAAACATGTTTTCTTCAGACTTAAATTTATATAAAAAGCTCAAAACATTTACATATATGAAAAATATATTGATAACGAAAAAAAAATATGTACCTGCCAACCTACAATCTAAGTCAGGATTATTTAGAAATACTTTTCTCTGTATTCGAATGCAAGGTGGCTTTAATTTCATCCCTAATGTCAGACAGTCAAAGGTTGCTACAGAAAACTATTGGCACATCTAGTTTAACTACAGAAAATTGTGTTCCTTTGGAACAAGTATCTGTTCTTAATTGGACTTCCGCTACTCAATTAATAAATTACTCCACTCCTACATACCGTCACGCTGAAGATGATGAGAGTATCTGTGATTCATTATAATTTTTAAATGCAATTACTTGAAAAGATGATGAGTTAACCAGGCGATTATGGGTAAAATTACATCATGACTATCGGAAGTTATTAATAGGATATCTGGCAGATAGCATTGCTTATTATGCTACAAAAAAATTCTAAAAATGCGCCGCGCGTTTGTCTACTGAAGAAAGACATTTTCTTTCATAAATTAATAAATTTGGAAACTAGGGGCTTACGTTTTCCATCCAACGATTTATATAATATTTGTTATACTTGAAAACATTACATTATATAATGAAAGGCATCAAAAATATATTCTTACAAAAATATCAGAAAAGTTTATTGCCAATGACGGGATTTTTGTCAGCTTGGAATTGAGCACACATTCGCAGGAATAGAGCACAAGATAAGTTTTATTAAATATGTATAGCAGAAAATTATTTGGTGACTCGATTTCAAGAATCACAGTTGTTTGAAAAAGTTACTCAACAAAAAGGGTTTTGACATAATTGTTATGATGTGTAAAGGTTTTTAAACATTACGATTGTCATAAATAAAAAATATAATTTACAAATTCACATTTAGACATTGATTTTGGGTCATTGAAGAATTCTGCTTCGCTGTAAAGCTATCTAAGACGGATAATTTACTTACCTTTTTTGGTACTGCATAAGTAGTAACTTTAAGTCTTCCTTCTTTCGTTGTGTATAAATCTTCAGTATCAAAATGATCGCTGCAAATTACACTCGATTTCGACGGAAGCCAATCATTTTCGTTTCTACTCTCTCTAATTATATTAATTAACATTTTTCTCCATACTTCATTGGTTTTAGGAAACCTTAAAAAATATAGATATTTATACGTAAATTAAACATGGCATAAAAAAATTAAATTAGGATTACAGCGTTCTGTGGTCGTAAAACATCACATCTAACCTTCTCAACCGTATTATAATCGGTCCATTAGTCTACGCAACGTTCTAGCGCAACGTGGACTTTGGTCAAAAATCTATCGAAGAACCTTCTCAGAAGCTATACATATCTAATGCAAAAAAAAACCGCATTATACTCTATCTGGTAGTTATACAGGAAAACGGTAACAAAAAAGTGCATAAACGTTAAAAATTGCAATTTCCACAAATTCGGGTAATTTTCCCGATAAATAATTAACAACACTGGTCATGTGACTCACTCATGTTCCGTTTCTGTGCTCCAAAAATAGCAATATAATATAGGTATGTTCAATATTGATAAATTTGCAAATAACTTATTATAGTTAAAGACTTACCTATGAAAGGTGATTCCTTGATGTTTTTTCACAAAAGCACTAGAATTCTTGCAAAATTTAACGACGCAAGACGGCATATTATTTATTTTTGTTTTTACTTACGACAACTACTCGCGGACGACGTTGGTTGCGTAATGGCGGCCGCTCGGCTTATTGTTAATGTGAATGTGTGAGTGACCGCATGCACGTACAAGTAAGCCGGCTTGTGTGCTTCCCTCGGTTGTATTTGTAATTTGTATATTGAGATTCAGTCCGCCTTTTTTATACCTTTTTTGGAATAGCATGCGGCCTTAAGCAACGTAATCCCTTTGCTGTTGTTATAAAATCGGCGTCGTCAAAA